CGTCGAGCGCGAAGAGCCGGGGCCGCTCCGCGAGCGTCGTCAGCGTCATGTTGCCGAGGTGGGGCAAATGGCGCACGAACCCGACGTGCTCCGTCGCGAAGACGAAGCGCATGTCGCGCCGGACGCCGTACGCGCGCGCGACGCCGGGCGGCTGCACGCCGAAGTCGGCGCTCGACCGGCTCAGCTGGCTGCACTTGCGCACGCGCCGGCCGGCGCCGTCGCGCACGTGGCACGCCGCCGGGTCCCCGCAGGCGGCGCGCGACACCGCGGCCTCGAAGGCCGCCATGGTACCGCAGTGGCCGCCGTCGAGCTCGACGCGCACGGGGTTCGTCGACGCGCCGTTGGCATAGACATCCATGGTCAGGCCCGCGGCGCAGGAGTGGTCGTCCGAGGAGGCCACGTGAAGCGACGCGAGGAGGGCGGCGAGGCGGAGCATGGTCCGCGAAGGTCGCGGACGCCCATCACCTATTTTTGGCCGCCGCCCGCTGTTTGAGCGACTCGCGGCACTTCTCGCGGCAATGAATTTCGAGGTCGGCCTCGTAAGACTTCTCGTAAGGCCGCACTGCCGGCTAAGCTAAAGTTAACCGGTTCAAAGAGCAGCGAAGCCGTGAAGTTTTGACGTCACGGCTTTGCCTCGCTCCGGGCTCGGACGCGCGATGCAGCGGTTCCAAGACTTGGCGCGGCGCTCGGTCTGTGGACCATGTCGCGCCTTGGGCCCGGCTGTGAGTCGCTCGGGAAAGACCATCGGTCGAAGGCGAGCAACTTAGTTCGCGTCGGGGCAGCCCGTGGATGACGAGAACGGCCATTAACGGTGGGGGGCGACCGACGAGGGGCCCAACTTAGTTCCAGGGGGCGTTTGGGCTGTTAGACTTCGAAGAGACCCCCCCTGGAATGATGTTCCCGAGGGCACTGTCTCGGTTCTAACAGCCCAAACGCCTCATGCATTGCGCGGTGAGCACCGTGTCACCCGCGGCGCCGCACGCCTCCCGGAGGTGGTGAGGTGATCTCGATCAAATCCACTCGAGCCGAAGAGCTGCCGCGAGGGCATCTGGTCGCCCCCATGACGAACGATTCCCGACGCTCTGTGACTCGAAGGGGACCGAAAATCGGGTCGGGGGAAGCTGCCGCGCCTCATTCCACCCCCTGGGGCTGCCCGTTTGCGTCGCCTCGCAATCGTCCGGATGTCACGTCTTTTCATGTGCCTCACCCACATGTTTGCGGACCTCAAAGCCACTGGGATCGTGCA